TCTTCTTCTTCTTCTTCTTCTTCTTCTTCTTCTTCTTCTTCTTCTTCCTCTTCTTCTTCTTCTTCTTCTTCCTCTTCCTCTTCCTCTTCCTCTTCTTCTGGTTCTTCTCCTCCTCCTTTCTCCTCCACCTCCAGCTCCTCCTCCTCCTCTTCTCCCTCCTCCTCCTCCTCTTCTCTCCTCCTTCTCTTCCCTCCTTTTTCTTCCTTTTCTTCCTTCTCCTCACACATCCCCATGGTCAGATGATCAAAATTCCGGCACTCGGCAACTGGCATGGATTTATGACAGTTGCACAGTCCCAGGATCAACCATTTGGAGCCTTCCCAGCTGGCTTCGGACGAGCAATTGTGAAAGCCAGACTCACTTAACAACTGCATAATTCACTTAACTGCAGTGATTCACTTAGCAACTGCAACAAAAATGGTCATAACATGGGACAAAATTCAAGGAACAACTGCCTTGCTTAACGATGGAAATTTAGGGCTCGGTTGTGGTTGTAAATCAAGGACTACCTGTAGTTAGTGGGACTCAACAGCAAAAGTTCATATTATTTAAAAAACAAAACAAATAGTGACCTTTGACTAACAATAGAGACATTCAGTCTTTCTCTGGGAAGGTCATCCAGCTAAAGCAAGCAAAGGAAACCATTGATGACTTGTGAACTTCAACTCCCAGAATTCCTGAGCCATGCTGGGAGTTGAAGTCCACAAGTCATAAAAGGGCCATAATTCCCCTCCCCTGAGCTGAAGGAACTGTAGTACTGACTTCTTGCCTTGGCCAACGCACAAAGAGGCCGTGGGCTATACAAAGGTTGTTTGCATAAGATTAAAATGCACCAGGAAACGTGTGCTTGAATTAATGAAGAGAAGGAAGAAGAAAAAAAAAAAGACAAGGAAATTAGACTCAGTAAATGCACTTTGTGTTCCAGTCCCGTTTTTCAAGAAGATATAAATTCCACTGCTACAAAACCTTTTGTTCAATGGGGGTCATGTTATCAGCTTGACTTGTGGGCCATAAAAAGCCCCGGATCTCAGCTTGGCCATCTGTCTTCCAACAGACATGAGATAAATGAGAGATAAAAATACAGGTAGACCTCATTCGTTTAGGGACTGTTCCAAGTTACAATGTGATTCACTTCACAAGCGCAGCAAGATTCACTTCACAAAACGTTTCCCTGAGCACACATACATTTGGGGCTCCACTGTGGTCGTAAGTCAAGGGCCCCCTGTCATATCAAGCCGCCCCCCAATAACCTGGAGGAGATAAAAATAATACCAAGTCACCATAATCTGCATGCAATCTTTTTCACCCACCAAGGATTAGGAATACACTGTTTTCCTACGTTGACAGTTAGCTGTCCTTCCAAAGAGGCCGTCTCCAAAAATAGCCCTTGGATACAGCAGTTTCACTGGTATCTGGTGTGCAGGAAAATAACACGATAGGAGTGGGTGAGATCGTCCCTGAACTGGATTTATTGGCAACAAAACCAGCCGAAACAGGAAGGAGCCAAAGTCACAACATTATGAAGAACTGCCAGAAGATAGGCACAAAAGCAACTCTTTTGTTGGGGCTTCAATTCCAGAAAGAAAAAGAGGAATCAAACATACACAAACACACACAGATGTAGTAGACACACAAAACTGCAACAGTTGGAAAATTCCTCAGATTCTGAGAAATGTTTTAGGCCCTCACTGCATTTCTCCTGTTTGCCATTCATAAGCAACCTTGGCAGATCTCCAAAAACTTGCTGGGGTGATATTGTGATATTGGTATTAGGATTGTATATTGAAACACCGAACAGCAAAATAATGAAGGATGAAACTTTAATATATACAGATGTGAAGAGTTAAATGAGGGAAATATGAATAATAAAGCAGGTGAAAGATGGAAAACAGAAAAGAAACATCTCTGACTTATTTATAATTGGATAAATAATAAATGCAGAGATTAGTATTTAACAATGAAAGAAGATTAACAAAATAAAAATACAGATCTATTGAAATATGTAAGAATAAACAATGTTAAACTCTCGGATTGTATGTGAATATAGTATTAAATGCACAAAATGATAAATGTAAATAGTGTATTATGGTATAAATAAGAAAATAATAGTTATAATCATGATGAATAACATTATGTAGTCGAAAGAGATTATACTGTATGATAGTTTCAGTTAGGATGTATAGTATGATGTAAACAACAAAAAAAGAACTTGATATATAACCAGTACACAATGATGTTGTAAAATTGGAACTGTGATGAATATTAAGGAAAAATGTACAATAAAAATATTTTTAAAAAGAAAAGAAAAGAAACGTCTTTGAATACTATGGTGACATGAATAAAAGTTAGAATAGAAATAGATATAAGAGGGGAATAACAATATACATAGTTTAATATAACAAGATATATGTAATAATAAGAGGGAGATTTAGAAATTGAATGGCGGTAGTATGAGATACATTTAAACAATATGAAACAATGAAAATGAAATGTAATAACTGTGAGTAATAATGTTTTTTTGTACTAAAATGTATGATACCCAGGTATCACACTGTTCACCCAATGATATGTATAAGCAATATAAAATAAAAAACTTGACCAAAAAAGAAAAGAAAAGAGGAAGATCTTGAAAAACTTAAGTATTGCTGGGATGGGAGACCACTAGGAAACCCCAGGCCTTTAGCCTCAAATTAGACCAAGAAGAAAGCTAACTGGCTTTTTGCTTTTTTATTGCAAAACGTAACCTGAAGATGATCAGATGATCACCAGGAGAAACTATGATTCAAAGACAACTTCATTTATTGCTTGAAAGTTCTACTACAGGATGTCCGATTTCCTAACAACTTACTCTGTGTGTGTGTGTATGTCTGTGTAATAAACATTTTGAATACAGTGTATTGTCAGGGCATACTATTTACAGAAAAAACAAAAAACAAACACAACAAAAATATTAATACATAGACTAATAATAATAGTGTAACACTGTAACAGAGTAGTTTAAAGCAGATTTCTATTTGTATTAACTGTTTGTAAGTCTGTTGATTATATTGGCATATTCATAATTATAAACCATCTTTATATCTAATTCATACATAGCCTTACTCTTTCTTCATCTGATTTCTACCTCTTATCTCTAATCATTCGTAAAATCTGTTCCACATTAAATAGTATTCTGTGGCTTCTTTCTCCTTTATTTTTAATGTCAATCAACCAACTTCCTAGCACCAATTCAGTCTCAAAATTCTTGGCTTGCCAAAGAAGTAAGTCTGACCTACTCAATTAACAGATAATCAAGAGTTGGAAGGGACCTTGTAGGTCATCTAGTCCAACCCCTGCCCACTCAGATTGGGCTAAAATGAGATCTTGGCTACTTTACCCTCTTTTTCCCCCACTCCCACACACTACCTCAATTCAAATCCAGATTTTCCATGGGGGGGGGGGGGTCTCATTCTGAAACCTGGCATCTTTCTCAAGCCAAAGTTGGCTAGTTTTGTCTTTTTCCCACGTTGGGCAAACCCAACCATTTGGTGTCCGGTAAAAAAAAGAATGTTAAAAGAGAGAAGTAAATATTATGACTGGTGTGTTGAATAATTATTAGGTTAATATTATAGAATTAATACGTGGAAATATTATTAGGTTAAAGATTGCAGAATCAACATGAATTTAATTAGGAGGAGTTTGTAAGTTTGGTCGTTGGGTTCAGATGGAATGATTATATTAAAAATTAAAAAAAATATTTAGACAAAAACTAAAATTTAAAAAAATAATAATGTTTGTGTTCTTGTTTAAAAACAACAACAACCGCCCAACAAGAAATGTCTTGGCAATCCACCAGCCCGAAAAAGGAGTTTATTCAGCACCCGACTTAAAAGTCCCGGGGCCGAAAGTTGAGCCTTCGAAGTCTTGGAGACGGAGGAGAGCTCTGGGGGCGCACGTTGACGACCCCGGCTGGGCAAAGGGCAGGAGTCCGGGACTCTTGCAACAAGGCAAACCGCGCAAGGCGAGACCTGCCCGGGAGAAGGCCGAGGCTCCGCGCCGCCTCTTCTCCGCCCAAGGCTCCCTCTTCTTCCGCTCGCCCGTCCTCCCCAACAGCCATGTTTTGCCTGAAGGCGCCTCCGGGGTTGGGGAGGGGAAGGGAGGGGCCGCTCGTGCTCCGGAGAGCCGCTCCCGACCCAAGCGGCGGGGGGGGGGTGCGCTGTCCAGCGGCCTGGCCAGCCTGCCTGCTGCCTGCTTGTCTGTCTATCTGTCTTCTTGCCTTCCTTCCTTCCTTCCTTCCTTCCTCCCTGTCTGCCTGCCTGCCTGCCTGCCTTCCTCCCTGACTGTCTGTCTGTCTTGCCTTCTTTTCTGTCTGTCTTCTTGCCTTCCTTCTTTCCTCCCTGTCTGTCTGTCTGTGTTGCCCTCCTGACTGCTTGCCTTCCTTCCTGTCTGTCTGTCTTCTTGCCTTCCTTCTTTCCTCCCTGTCTGTCTGTCTCTCTTGCCCGCCTGACTGCTTGCCTTCCTTCCTTCCTTCCTGACTGTCTGTCTGACTGTCTTGCCTTCCTTCTTTCCTCCCTGTCTGTCTGTCTGTCCTGCTTGCCTGACTGCTTGCCTTCTTTCCTCCCTGTCTGTCTGTCTGTCTGTCTTGCTTGCCTGACTGCTTGCCTTCCTTCCTTCCTGCCTGTCTGTCTGTCTTGCTTGCTTGCCTGACTGCTTGCCTTCCTTCCTTCCTGTCTGTCTGTCTTCTTGCCTTCCTGCCAGTCTGTCTTGCCTTCCTTCCCGTCGGCCTGTCGGTCTGCCTGCCTTCCTGACAGCAGCCCCCCCCCCCACACACACACACGCGCGATCCCGCCGCCCCTTACCTGGCCCAAGCTAGGCTCCAGCCGCGGGATCAAGGAATTGGAAGGAGGGCGGTCGGGGCAACGGGAACGGGACGCCTCTTCCCGGGCGGGCTCAGAGAGTTCTCGGAACGCAGCTCTTTTTTTTTTCCCCTTCCGGGACGAAAGCGAAGATCTGCGGGGCTCCGAGGCGGAGTCTGCCCGCCGCCTCCGCCTTCTTCTCAGCCTTGCCGGGAGCTCGGCCGCCCCCGCGCGCCCCTCTCGCTCCCTCCCTGCGCAAAGTCTCCGGCTGGGAAGGCTGCGCTTCGCAGCGGGGGGAGGAGGAGCTGAGCGGCCGGTCCGGGTCCCAGGCAGGATCCTCACCTGGCCGGTGGGCAGTTTTGAAGAAGAGAATGGACAAAGGGGGAAGGTTTCCTGCCTAACTGGGCGGGTTGGACTAGAAGACCTCTTAGGTCCCTCCCAACTGTGTTATTTCTCTTCTAGTTTAGTCCCGTCTTCAAAAACTTCCAAAATCTTCTTTTAGTAAAAAATTATCCATTAAAAAAAAACACCTGACTTGTAGACAACAACAATAACATTAATCATGGAATGATCTTAAATCTTCTCTCCCTGTTTTGAAAAAAAAAAAAATGGGAAGGAGGCGTCTCCTTAGTGGGCAGCCACACACAATTTCTCATCAGCCCTCATCGAAAAGCAGGACTTAAAAATCAAACGGAAGAAGGACGGCCACTTCTCAAAAACGCCATAGGCTCTCCTGTTTGGGCAGGAGGGGGCTGGACTAGATGGCCTTCAAGGTCCCTTCCGACTCTGTGATTCTCTGTTACAAAGGAGGGAGGTTTTATGAAAATCTACAAATGACGGAGGTAGACCCGGTTCAGAATGAAGGATGAAGAGCAGCCTGAAATCTGGAGACTCATTTTCAGGGACCAGCCAGCCATTCCGCTGTCTTATTTCTGTCTTGTTATTTCACTAGGCAGGATAAAAAGCAACGGGTGGAAACTAATCAAGGAGAGTGTCAGCTGGTGCTCCATTCAAAATCCAAGAAAGAAATACTTAGACTCTTTTAATTAGAGAAAAGATATCTTTTATTGGAAGTCAAGTGGTAGGAACAAGAGGATTCTGAATCTGAGAAAATAGGCGCGTAAATTGCATATACAAAGTAACGGCAATGTTCCCACCCCCAATAGTTCAAATGGTTCTTCCAATTAAAAGTTGTGAATATCATCATGTGGGCATCTCCAGGTGGTGATGAGGCTTCTGTCCGTTGACCTTGGCATAGTTTGATAAAGGTTTGCAGCTGCGCATAGAAGAGAGAGCTAAGCAAGGAATAGAAACCTAAGCAAGAAAGTACTCTTCCCCCCACCCCCAGTTTATACAGTTCTAGTTTGTAACACCTCCAGCTCACTTCCCATACTTTCCCCGCCTCCTCCCCCCCACCCCCTTACTTATGACAGCCGAAAGATGCAAAGCAAAGGGAGAAAATCTTGAAGGCTGACAGAGAGAAGCAACCTAGAACTAAGGAGAAATTTTCCGGCAGAACAATTAACCAGTGGAACTTCTTGCCTTCAGAAGTTGTAAATGCTCCAACACTGGAATTTTTTAAGATATGAGATTGGACAACCCTCTGTCTGAAATGGTATATCTCCTGCTTGCAAAGGGGACTGGACTAGAAGACCTCCAAGGTCCCTTCCAACTCTATTCTGTATTCTGTATTCTGCCTGGAGAGCCTAAGGTGTTCCCTTCTTTAAAAAAATAAAAAAATTAGAGCCGTTAGCCCAATGCCTCCGTGGAGCCCTGATGGCAATCTCCCCAACAGCCCAGTTAGGTCGGAGCAGATAAAACTGGCATTATACCGGTAAAGGTGGCATTATTTCGAGAGCCAACCTGGAAATACAGGAATTTCCTGATAGTGAGAACCATGAACAGCTCTTGCCTCCTGGAGTTATGGGTGCTTCATCGCTGGACGTTTTCAAGGAAAGATTGGACAACCATTTGGTTGGGAATGCTATGCGGTCTCTCCTGCCTTGGGCAAGCAGGGGTTGGACTAGAAGACCTCCACGGCCCCTTCCAGTTCCAGCCCTAAGGATTCTATAATAGGATGCCTTTAAAAAAAAAAAAGTTTTATTGGATTTTTATTTTTAAATATATATCCAAGAGCAATACATGAACAGTGTGGCCTCTGGGTATAATCATTTTGATACAAACAGCCATAATGATGATGATGATGATGATGATGATGATGATGATGATTACATTACTCAAACTTATATAATCTTAGTATTGATATAGGATGCCTTCCTGATAGCGCACACCCTGGCGATACTCTGAGAAATGACAGAGTCAAGATCCTTCGGGTTCAGAGGAGGGTGATTGACAACCTCATGTACAGGCAACCCTTGACTGAGGATTACAGTTATATATGTCTTATATATAGCTCTCTCTCTCTCTCTCTCTCCCTCCCTCCCTTTGTGTGTGTGTCTCTCTCTCCCTCTCTCTCTGTCTCTCT